CAAAATCATCAAATCTTATTGATCCACGACCAGTATAATTTAAATGAAATTGTAGTCTTGTAGTCGATGATTCTGCGGAATTTAAAGTTACTTGAAAACGAATCCATTTTTCAACCATTTGTTGTGTAGCATGTAATTTCCATATGTTTGTGGTTTTAATATCATTTGATAATTGATGTAATGATAATTTTAAATATTCAATAGGACCTTCGTTGATCCAAATCCAAAATTGAAAACATTTTTCTCCAGAAAATTTATCAATAACCGGACTTGTTAAACTTGCGTTTGATACATCGTATGCTGAAGAATATTTGCCATATAAAACATGACCATCTGATGTTAATGTTGTATGATCGATACCTTTTGGCGTACCAGTGTAGAAAGCAAGTTTTCTTCTAATTGTAATACCACCTTCCCATGATGATTTCCATCCACAGATACTGGTTTCAAAATCACAAATATCAACATTATTCTGACAATGATCATATTTGAGATGAAAATTTTTAACAGCCATTAAACCACCATCACTATCGGCAATAAATTTTAATCTAAATGATTTGGATGGTTTTGGTAAATCCACATAGGTATGATGCCAAAAATCAGTGTTTAATATTGGTGTTACCCATATTTTTTTACCATTATCAGTTGAATTTGATTCAAACAAATATAATGCCAAATAATTTTGATCATCATGACGACCATCATTCATAAAATAATAATCAAAATCAAAACAATAATATTCCGAACTAGATTCCAATGGAAATTCGGGTGATTGTAGAAATTCATTACGAATTAAATGATTTTCCAATTCATAACCACCATCTTTTATGAATAAAAAACAAAATGAATTAAATTCATCTGATGAATTTTACTGGAAAGAAATGATTTACCTTGTTCTGTAAATGGTGTTGAATTTAATTGTAATGAATGTTGATCATGTTTACCAATAATCGGTTGCCATTTCCAATTTGACGAAAATGTCCAATCACATTTACGTGTTTGAAAATTACAACCACTTGGGTCAGAATAGTGATTACCATATACATTATTATTGATTATGAATAACCAAAAAATAATTCGAATGAGTCGGAAATTTCGATCCATTTTACTTTTTTAAAAAATCGAGCAAAATTTAAAATAAATTGATTGAATGAAAAAACGTCAAAAATCATCAATCAATTTGTTTTAAATACATCAAATTATAAATCAAAAAATCAATAAGCTGATAATCCCGAAAGTCATTTGTCAGGATTCCATTATCCACATCATCATCATCGTGTGTATAATATCTATTGTTTTTATCACCTGAGAACGCCATTAAATTAAAAAAAAAGTGTCTTTTTTTTAAAAAAACCAAAAACAATTCCATTCAATTCAATTAATCATTTCATGGTCATTCATTTTTGTTTTTTTCAAAAATCTAAATGATAATCGTCAACAATACAATCAGATAATGAGGATTATGATGAATGTTGGTTGTTTTGTAAAACAAAAATTTCTCAATTTTAATCACCCAAAATGGCTATGGGGCGAAATATTGAATTTTTTTTTGCACTTCCAAATTGAAAAAGGTGACAGTTTTTATTTACTCATCTTTTTTTGGTTTTTTGTGTGTGTAGGTGGATGGTTGATTTATTGGTTGGTTGCTTTCATCCATCCATACATCCTTCGTTAATAAGCGTATCAGCGTAGGTTTTCTGTTTGCTAGTTTGTAAATCCTTGAACTCCATATAAATAGATTCGAAATGTTGTTGATATTTGAAAAAACAAAATCAAACTTTTATTATTAAATTTTGTTTTGAAAAGAAAATCAGAATACCGAGCTGGACATAGGTTTTAATTTTTTGAAAGAACAACATTTTTAAAATTATCTGGTTTTTTACTACAATCATCATTCACTGATGATTTTTCCCAAAATTGAATTTCCTTAACAGTAATATATGTTGATGAATGTGCGGATTTAGCTGTTAAAATCAAACGAAATAATTCACCATGTGTATATGGCAATTGTAATGTTACAGTATTATTTCCACGATCATTTGAATTGAAATGCCAGATTTCTTTTTCTTTTGTTTCTGCTCTACCCCAAAATGTTTGATAATTTAAATTAAACATATCGGTATTTGAATCAAATGACCATACTTCATAATCCATTCGTAAACAAGCACCATGTTTTGATATACCTTCTTCAACAATTTCACTGATCATTTGCATTTGACCAATTTTACCATCAGGTAGTTCGGTAAAATCGGTATACAATAATGGTTTTGTATGATAGATAAAATTTTTTGTTGAATTTAAAAATGTCAATTTTGTTACATCATGTACACGTCCAATTCCAATACTCCACATTAATGGATTATCATTATTTTGATTATTTTTCCAACCACATGTATGTTGAAGAAAATTACAGGATATTTTCATTGGACATCTATATGATATCATAGAAAAATCATCAAATAATATCGAACCACTACCACTATATTTAAGACGAAATTCAAGATTTGAACTAGGATAATAATAAAAATCGATAAAAACTTGAAAACGATTCCATTCTTCGGCCATTTGTTGTGTAGCATAAAATTTCCAAATTTCTTTATCACCTTCAAATTGATCATTTGTTCGATGATATAATGATAATTGTGCATAATCAATTGGACCATTAACATAAAGCCAAAATTGAAAACATTGTTGATTTAAATATTCACTAAAATTTGGACTAGTTAATGTAGCTTTTGGATCAGATCGTGGATTAGATTTTGCAAATAAAACATGTCCATTCGGTGATAATGTTGTATGATCAATATCATTCGGTGAATTAGTATGCGATGCTATTTCTCGTTCAATTGTAAGACCACCTTCGTATGAAGATTTCCATTCACAATTATCGGTTTCAAAATCACAAACACCACCAATTTTTGGACATTCATCAAATAAAAGACGAAAAAATTTTACGGCTGCTAAACCACCATCACTATCGGCAATAAATTTTAATTTAAATGATTTTGATGTTGGTCTTGCAAAACTAACATATGATTGACGCCAATAATCACCATAAAGCATTGGTGATATCCATATTTTTTGTTGTTTTTGATCACCATCAATAAAATATAAAGTAAAATTATTCTGATCATTACGGCCATCATTCATAAAATAATAATCAAAAATAAAGCAAAAATTTTCCGATTCAGATTCTGGAAATAATTCCGGTGATTCCATATATTCACCACCATTTAGATGATTTTCCAATTCATAACCATTACCTTTTTTAGAAACATATTGAAAAAATGATTAATTTAGAAAAAACAAATTGATTTTCAACCGAACCAGAAAATAATTTCACCTTTTATTGATGGTGTTGAATTCAATTGTAATGATCGTTGATCATGTGAAATTGGTTTCCATTTCCAATTTGATGATAATTTCCAATCACATTCACGTGTTTGAAAATCACATCTACTTTCTTCATGGCAATTGATAAACAATGTTGACAATGATAATAGATAAACAAAACAAACAAATTGAAGAATTTGATTCATGGCTTTTCTTCAATCAATAAGATCAGTAAACAATGATTAAATCAAATTTAGTTTGATTTGATTATTGATCGATTCAGATTTATATAGAATCAAATCAATTGTCAAAAAAAATGGAGCAAAACAAAAATACAAAATCAAAGTCCAATGTAAAATTATCATCATTTGTGTTAGGATTTAACATACAATTCTATCAGAATAATCCAAAGATCATTTTTCTCTTTCTTTAAATTTCATTCAATAATTTTCATCATCATCATCGATATTGGAGAAATCGATTGCTAATCAATTGCTATTGAAGGTTACAATCAACCTGGAAACAAACAAATTTACTCACCAACACACATACAGGCAAACAGACATTTGTTTTGTCATAAAAAACTTGAAAAAAATCAATACTAACACTTTGTACCTAATCTAGAAAAAATCCAAATCAAAATTTGTGCTAATTTTTCATTGTGTTGATAACATATCGAAAGGATCTTCTTTACTTTTTTTTTTTGAAAAAACAACACATTTGTTATTTGTGTTTCTCAGCGGATCTGTACGTTTTTATTTTTATTATTTTCACATTATGTCAGGAAAATGGTTAAGATAATACCGAAGAAAACAATCAAAATTAAAATTTTTTAAAAAAATCCGATCAATCAATCAATTTAAAATGCATATGAATATTGAAATGCAGCCGGTCCAAATTGTTTGAAATTAACATGTGCATGTGATTGTCCAGTACCGGGAATACTATAACGTGATGAACGTTGTGGTTGTGATTGTTGTTGATATCCACCTTTAACCGATGAATATGATGCTGCCGGTGAATAAGCTGTGGATGATGATGCAGATGCGGATGCGGATGATGCAGCAGAAGCAGCTGATGATGCAGCCGATTTATATGCAGATGTCAAGGATTTATATGGTGTTACAACTGCTGCTGGTTGCTGCGGTTGTTGTTGAATTTCAGTCAAACGTGCTGTTGGACTTTTCAATGCACCCGAATATTGTTGTACTGATTTGGTTTGATAATATCTAGCTGCTGGCTGTATTGTTTTTTGTGAATAATATTGTCGAACAACCGGTGATTGATATTGATTATTATTGTATAATACTTTTCGTTGATGATTATATTGATTTGAATAATAATTTCCATATTTTACTGGTGCTCTTGGAATTGTTGGTGTTTCAGCTACAATACGTTCACTATAGATATTCTTACTGCTACCACCTTTAATATTGTATTGTTGATTAATAGAATTATCCGGAACTGTTGTCCAATCGGTTTTTCCATTACCATAATAACCACCTGTTGATGATGATGATGATGATGCTGAAGCTGCAGCTGATGCGGCTGATGATGATGAAACTTGACCAGGAGCTTGTTGCCATGTTTGTTGTTGAATTTTTGTTGCCTGATCATTTTCATATAATAATCTTTGTTGTCGTAATGTTTCCTGATCAACACCAATATCACCTTCAGCATAATAACCATCAGATCCAGCACGATATTTAACTATTCTATTTTGATTAGATTTTTTTCAAAAAAAATTCATATGATTAATATGCGGAATTGAAAATAATTCTCATTAGACTATCTATACAAACCTTAATTGTCCATATGGATCAACATATCCATATTTACCATGAACATTACCATATTCATCACGACTTTCTTCACGAAATGATTGTGCTAAATCTGGTTCATTATTTGTACCGGTTTGATAAGAAAATTGATAAGCACCATTACCATTATCATATTCATTACGTTCATATGGTTCAGTATAATAATATGCTGAACAAAATTCTATTGCTAATATTGTCCATAGACAAATAATGATTGATCGATACTTTTGAAAAGATCAAAAACATTTCAAAGGAAAAATTATCAACATAATTGATTTAAATCACTTACCATCTTTAATGATCAAATTCAATTCAATTCAATCGTATGAAAAGAAGAAATTTCTGAAAAACAAAACGAAAAAAAAAGTATTTTTTCACAAATTAATCATCAAATGGAAAACTAAAAACATACAAAACACAAAGATTCGTAAAAAAATTCTTCCGTTGTCCTATCAACCATCAAATGATAGAATAAATGATTGAAATAAATGGCAAAACGAATTTCTAAATTGAAATGAACATTTATAAATTTTCAAATGAATTCTTCAATTATTTTCAAACGACAAATAATTGAATAAAGAATGGAGGCGGTGGTTGTGGTTGTGGTTATGATTTATAAATAAACTAGACGAAATTATTAAATGATGGTCCATCCCTTTGTATCATCGAAACAGGTGTTGATGACGATGATGATGACAATGTTCCAAGATTAGCTCTATGTTGTTTCGTGCAATTGATGTTTAGCTTGTGTGTGTGTGAGTGTGACATTGGTAATGTGATGCTGCTGCCCATTGTCGTTATTGATGATGATAATGATGATGATGCTAAAAATTGATAAATAAGAATGTGTGGGCGTCAATTGAAACAAAACAAAAAAAAACAGAAAAAAAGTGATACAGGTGATTTACGATAATTTTGAACGAGAAAAAAAACAATGATGCTAATTTCATCTGATCATCATTCTTATTTCCACATATTGGGTTGTTTTTTTTCGAAAAAAAATTCCATTCAAAAATGTTTCGTTTCATCAGCCATCATCATCAATAAATCAGACAGACTTGAAATATGATAAAACGACACCCACAATATTTTGTGGCTTGAAAAAAAACCTTGAAGGGTTGATTTTCCAAAACAACTCATAGAAGATAATCCTTGTTTGTAGTTGTTAGTTTTGTTTTGTCTTATTGGGAAAATTATTGAAAAGGATTCATTTGTTTTTGTTCAGCAAATTTTGGCGACATTCGATGATAATAAGCTTCCGATTTTAATTTGATGATAATTTGTTACGAAGAAAGAAAGAGAGAAAAGCATTTTCCAATCAAATATAGATTTCAATAACCCTTTTTTTTGATAATGAATTTTTTCGTATCGTTTTCGTTTTGTTACTTGACTAAATTTGGGTTGAATTTTAAATTATTCATGTACCATTATCGATCCAAATATGGCAATTCATTCATTTTGTTGTTTTCCACCACTGTATAGAAAAAAACATTAAAACAGTGATGGCTATCAATTATCATCATCATGGTTAATCATAATCCAAATGACAATGAAAAAGGGAAATGAAATGTTTTGCGACAAAATTCTTTTTTGGATTTCAAGATTATTATTTTAACTTATGGCCAGACTTAGTAGGTTTTTTCGGATTAATGATGGTTTTAATTACGATGATGATGATTATCTCGAATTTCTTTCTTTTTTGCTTTAATTATTTCATTTATTATTATATCATTCATCGAAAAAAAACATCGGAATTCGACCACTATTTTGACCAATTATGATGATAGTGTGTGTAGGCGAATTTGATTTGTTTTTTCCTAAAATTATAACGAAACAGAAGAAAATGAAAAAAAAGAGAATGCAGATGTTTGTTTGTTTTATATATTTTTTTTCAATGTCATAATCTGGTCATAAGACTGACCATTTTGATGATGAAATTTTTTTTTCTTGAAAAAATTACCAATTTTTTCAAGAATGAAAAGAAAACAAAAAAAAAGTTTGTCAGACATACATATTTACTTACCATCAGAATTTTTTGCATTGTTTTTTTTTGTTTTGTTTTCAAAACACAAAAACGATAAAGATCATACATTTTTTGATGGAACAGGTATTCAGGATTGTTTACTTGTCATCGTCATTATTATTATATCGTCGTTGAATCTTGTTTCGTCTTGATTTATTTAATGATCAAATTCTACAATGATGTTCATGAAAAAAAAGAGATGGACGGCTCAAAAAAAAAATTTTGAAGGTTATTATATTCGAATCATGAAAATAATCGATACTATCGCGATTATGGAAACAACAAAATTGTAGAAAAAAAAATACATTTCCCTGTCCCATCACAGTTACACGTGCGACAACAAACAAAAAACTTAATTGAAATTCCTGATCTTAATCAAAAATTTCTGAAACTCTTTTTGAATTAAATTGGCCGATTTATATCTGAAACAATGTTGTTTCGAGTTCCATTTATCGTGGTCATTGTATCGAATCCGAAAAGGATTTTTTTCTCTAATATACCAAAAACAAAAACAATGTAAACACACATTAAAAATCTATGAATATTAAATTTTAATAATTTAATTTTTTTTTCAATGTTACAATGAATTAATTAAAATAATAATTAAAAAAATAAAATAATAAAATCTTGTTCAAAATTAATTTAAATTTAAAAAAAAAATCACATTTGTTTGTTGAAAATCAACAACAATAATAAAAGAAAAACTTTGTTGTCCAACAACATATTTATCCACTAAAACGTCGATTATTTTCCGATATTTTTGCTTGCTTCTGTTTGGAATCATTTTGTTGATGATCATCATTCGATTGATCATAATTAATGGTAGAATACAATGTTGATTGTGTTGCTAATGGTGATGATGATGACGATGATGATGATATGTATGTCGAAGGTGTTATGGATCTTATCGATATAATTGATGATGAATCAATTGATGAAGAACTATCGTTTACAGATAGATATTTATTTATTGTTTTGGTTGATTTTGTTGACGATGTTGTTGATTGATAATCAGAATTTTCAATTGATAATTTTTGATTTAATTCCTGTATAATTCTTTCTAAACGATCTATCTGTTGATATTGAATTTCGGATAAATTTTGACAGATTTTTGTTACATTTATTAATGAATTCTGTATAGAATTAATACGTGAATGCATTGTTTTTACACGTTGAATAACATCAGCATGACCAGCTGCATTTTGTTCAATAACATCATTAATATCATATGGACGTAATGCATTTTTAAAATTTTTTCTTGCTACTTCAAATTTAACTAAACGTATGAAACGTATCATTGATTTTTCGGCCGGTGTAAAATATTCACAATAATATTCATCATTATTTTGATTCATTATGATTGGCATTGTTGTATGATCTAATAAACGATGTTTATTTTGATAAATTTTTGGTGATGTTGCCATTATTGCAAGTGATTGTATGGATCGACCACTACTTTCATTATTATTATCAATTGTATTTGATGATCTTGAAGAATAATCAACTAATGATGATTGTGATTCGCTACCAAAATGTTTATGAATTTTATTTCGTAAACATTTTAGATCAACAACACTACTAATCGTTTCGATTTGTTGATCCGAATTTGATTGTGAAATATTTTTCAATTTATAACGTCGTCGTTGTTGGTGTTGTTGCTGTTTTTTCAAACAAACTTTCCATGTTGCAATTGAACGAGAATTTTTCGATGATGCATAACAACGCCATGCACATTGTATTAAAAATGCGGCTGGATCACGTCGTTTTTCAAAACGTTTTTGTCGTTGTTGTTCTTGTACCTATTTTTAATCAAAATAAATGATAATTAGTATGAACAATTCATTGAATTTTTTTCAAAATAATTACCTCTAGTGCTAGACCAGTACCAAGAATACCAGCAGGTAATGCAAATGATGAAAAACAGATTAATAATAAAATACTTGCTGTAAATTTACCGGCTATTGTTGTTGGTACCATATCACCATAACCAATAGTTAATAATGAAACAATACCCCACCAAAGTGTTTTTGGTATTGATGTAAAATCAGTATCTGGTTGATTATGTTCAATAAAATAAACAACAAATGTAATGAATATTAATGATAATGTACACATATAAACAGCAACAGTAAGATGATCACGTTGATTCCAAATAACTGATGCCATTATACGCCATGGTTTAAAACGATGACTTAAACGTAAAATTTGAAATGCTTGTGCAATACGTAACCAATTTATTTGATTCGAAATGGATGGATCAATTTTATGTACATAAAGTACAGTTGATGCACATAATATGATAAATATATCGATCAAACGAAATGTTGATGTACAAAATCGTAACAAACCTAACCATCCTTGATATTGGCTAATACATGATGATGACCATGCACGTGCCAAAAATTCAACAATAAATAATGCCAATATGAATGTATCATATATACGTAAATATTGAATAGTTTGTAAATAATAATCGTCAACAGTTGATAAGGCAAACAATAATAAACCAATAATAATAATTATGATTACAATTCGATGATAAAATTGTGGCCAAAATCCTTTTGGTCGTTGTAATAGATTATAAATTAAAAACCTTTGTCGATAATATGGTACTTCTTTTCGTGTTGGTAATGGTTTACCAAGTATACTTGTACGCATACTGATTGGTGATTTTTTATTCATCGAATTATCAAACGATGATTGATGATGATCTGATTCTTTGAAATCGGACCATTGTTGCTGTAAATATTGATTTTTTTCATCATCATCATTATTCATCTGAAATTTAAATGTTGATGTTGGTGTTGTAAAATTGTCCATAATATCATCTGTAGATTGATTATATCTTTCATAATGATTATCGATTGGATCGATATTGAAATTCATTTTACATTTATGATGATTAATATTGGATGATTGTTGTTTTATCAATTGTAATTGATGTTCATTATTTGTTTTAGCTGCAATTGATGGTGAAATCATTTGATCATTTTCAACAATAACTACAGGTGAATCAAAGATATTGTCAAATACTGAATTGTTATTATTTGATTTTGAAATTTTGTTATTGATCATTTTTGGTTGTGGTGATGGTAATGTTTTGTTTGAATCATGTTGTTGATGATCATCATCATTTATTTCGATACAAATTGAATTATCATCATCATCATCAACATCATAATCATCAACAATATCGTCATTTTCATTTGTAATTATTAATTTTTTTTGTTTTTCTCTGATCATTTCATTATCATCATTGGAAAAACTATATGGTCCAACGAATGATTTATGATGAGGATGAGGATGAGAATGTGAATGATTCGATGTTAACATTACCAATGATTTTGTTGGTGATGATGGAGGTTGTTGTTGTTGTTTTCGATTCAATTGACCTAATGAATTTTTAACCATTTTTATTCGATTCGGTTGTTGTCGTCGTCGTTGTTTAGATGATAAATCAAGCTGTAAGAACTGATTATTTTGCTGATGATGATGTTGATGATCACTTGATTGTTGATGTTTTAATGACAGTTGATTTTCATTTGATTGTTGTTGTTGTTGTCGAAGTTTTTGTTGTTGTTGTTGTTGTTGCTGTACGAAAAAAAAACAAAATAAAATGAAAAAAAAACATCAAAATGAAATTCCGTGAAAAAAAAACATCAAAAAAAAAATTGTGATTTGATTTGATCAAAACGAATCCGATGACGACATTCATTCGGATGGAAAACAAAACAAACGAAAGAACCAAAAACAAACAAACAGAAAAAAAGAGAGATGCATTTCAGTGTAATTCGACTTTGACAAAAAAAAAAAAATTTTACCAGATGATCATCTTGATTGATCGATGGTAGTAATGTATTAGTCCAATGACCATTGACTGGATCAATGTTTGATCATTTGTTTTGTCTGTGTACACAGTGCCGTATGTGTGTATAATTTTGATCATGAACTAACCTGATGATCATGACGATTTGGTCGTTGTTTTTGTTGTTGTCGTTGATCATCATCATAATAATCAAAAAAACCATCATCACTTGGTGATGTTATTATTATTTTGTTTATTTTCTTTTTCATTGAATTATCATCATTATTATCATTGGATTTGGTTTCAATTCGATCCATTTTTGTCTTCGATAACGATGATGATGATGATGTTTGAACACTTGTTGATTCAACATCAACATCATCATCATCATCATCTTCATCTTCATTAGTTGTTGTTGCCATTTCATCGGAAGTATCATCAATATTACTAAGATCTTCATCATCATCATCATCGACATCGATTTCATCATCTTTTTCATCATCAACAAATTCTTCTTCTTCTTCTTCAAGATGATTATTGAATTTATCAAGTAAGTTTTTCGATTTATCATTGATAATCATTTTTTTTTTTTTGTTTTACAAATGATGATGATAATCAAAACCACAACAACAATATCTATATAAAATTAAACAAAGAAAAGAAAAATTTTGATAAAAAACTTGAAAGGTAAGGCAAAAAAGTTGAAAATTTTTTAAGCTTTTTCAAAAAATAAACTTTCAATGTTAATAACGTGTGTTTTTATACAATGACCATATTGAATTTTGTTGTTTTTTGTTTTTTTTCGGGATATTAAATAATAATGATAAAGTTACTTATTGGGATTCACGTGATTCAGGCATTTTTGTTGGATGGGTTTAGTTTTTCAGAGGGAAAAAATTGTCATCATTATCATCAACGACGTAACATGAAATGAATTATATTTTTGGGTGATTATAAATATCATTCAATTAGAATAATTAAATTTGACAGTTCATCTGCATCATTTGTTTTCAAAAAAACAACAACAAGAGATCAAGAGACCTGTGCTGTGTATCCAAGATTAAGAGCTGTTGTTGATTGATTGTATGCGTGTTTGTTGAGTTATTTTGGTTTTCAACCGTAAAAAAATCATTTAAATTGTGGAAAATTTAAAAAAATTGAACTTGAAAAATTTTTGAACGAAAAAAAAACAACCATGAAAAATGAAATGATTTGGATACCTGTGTATAATTGCAGTGATGATGATGTTAAAAATACGTAAATAAATGTCACATGACAAAATTGATGATTTTTTTTTTGGTTGATGCGATTAAATCATCAAACAAATTGGATTATTGTTTCTTATTTCAGGTTAAATAAATGAATGATAATGATGGCTATTTTTAGATCAGAAAAATAAAAAAAAAAAGAAATTTTAAAAAACCAAATTAGATATGTTGATTTGTGAATGATGTTGTTGAACAAAAGAAGAAAGATTTAAAGAATGAATGAATGAATGAATGAATGATAATTATAAACACGCACCACCGTTTGTGAAAATAGTCGTTTTCAAAACCAAATCGATGATAATGATGATGTTGTTGGTAAAGAATGGTGCAATTAAGATAATTTTTTTTTTGGTTTTTTTTTCGTCTTTGAAAAATTTTCAATGACAATGTAACCAGATGTAAATGTTGTAATTATTTTGTTCAAAAGTAACAACAAAAAAAAGCATCAATTAATTTCTAGATATTTCCATTTGGAAATTCCAAAATCAAAAAAAAATGTCATTTTTATCGTTGACTTTGGATTGATTTTCGTACGGATATTTTATACTTGAATTTGGTCTCTCTCTTTTGGTTTGTTGACCGTCGAAACAACGTTATCTAATAATGATTTAAAGCCACAGAAAGAGTTAAAAAAAAATTCAGATGAAAACGAAAGAAAAATAAACAACAGCCAAATATTTAATTGACACAAATTCTTGAAATTTTTGAAATTTTCAAACATCTTGATTATACTACACACAGGTTCATCAGGGTCGTTAGTCGTTTGTTTGGTCAACATTGACATTGACATTGAATGTTGTTGTTGTTGTTTATTGATGAATGTTGTGAGGGGGATAAAAAAAATTCGGTTTGGAATGTCGCCGCCATCATTATCATCATCATAACCGATAACGTTATTTTATAAAAATATTCAAGGTGTGTGTGTATAATGATTACAGAGAAAATTTTTGTTTTTGTTTTTCATAAATAAATAATGATGATGAACGGGTTATTATTGACCTTGTTGAAAGCATATTATTATTATTATTATTATGCAATCAAGCAAGCCAAAAAAATTCGATTTATTTAACCCGTTTGATATGATTGGGTGAATGTAATGGTTTAATTAGATCTAATGAGATTCAATAGGTTGTTGTTGTTGTTGTTGTTGTTGCTTACCTGATAAAATCAAAGAGAAGTTATTTTCAAGAAGAAAAAAAATTCAAATTTGTATGATGTGTACTTGATTATGATGTAATCATCTAATGATAATGTTTTTTTTTGTTCGTTTCGTTTATTGTTACCTGTAATGTTATTCCGGCAATATTTTGTTTTTCAATGATCGATTCTTTTACATAATAATCCTGAAAAAGATTTTTATTGTGTGTGTGTGAGGAGGGGGGAAAAAACTTTTGAAAATTGAATTTTTGTTCAATATGATTATTATAATGGAAATTCATTGATTGTTTGTCGTCATCATCATCATCATCCACCACAATAATCATCAATGTAATGGTAACAAAACGATGATGATGATGATTGCCTAAAACTTTGATTTTAACATACACACACACACACACACACACACACACGGATTGAAATTTGTTTTGTTTTGTATATTTTGTCATTCATTCATTCATATCATCAACAAACAACAAATGTAAATGTAAACTAACTACAAACAAACATTGAATTGATTCATTAAACACGTATCAATGATCAATTCAATGATTCGATCAGAAAAAAAACCTATCTGCCTGCACAGGTATTCATTATAATTAAATTTCATCATCATCATCGAAGACAACATAAAAGAATCAATTTTTAAAATGTACGAAAAAAATAAGAAGAAAAAAACCAAATTACCTTTTTGTCTTTTTATTCTCCGGTGTTCAAATTTAATTACAAAAAACCCTTTATTTCGGTTGAAAAGGATGTGAAACCGCACACACACACACACACACACATTCAACAGGTTGGATTTTTCGTTTTTCACTTATTGATTTGTTGTGTGATGTGATGATGATGATGATGTCCAATCACTTTTGATGCTGATTAATAAATGATTACATTTCGTTTAGAAAACAAAAAAGAATTATCTCATTTGATGATGCGGCGGCGGTGGTGATGGTGATGATGATGGCGGTCATCCATCCAGGATGATTAAAATGATTTTCTGTTTACACAAATGATGATGGTGATGATGAGTACATTCCATACAATTATTGTTTTAGTAAACGATGATAATTGATGATGCTGAATTTGTCGCCTCTAAAGAACATCATCATCATTATCATTATCATTATCATGAAAATTTGATCTTGATTTTTCTTTGATGGGGGATATTTTCCCATTAACAAAAACTTAAAATTTAAAGAAAAAAAAAAAGAAAAATTATAAAATTTAAAAATAATTACAAAACGTACCAACCGAAAAAAAACAACAACAACAAACAACATATGTAGGAGAGAGAAGAAAAATTCCATCATCATCATCAAATTCTTGATAAAACAATTTTCTTTTACTGATAAAACGAAACAAATAATAATAAAAAAAACAAATTTAAAATTGAAAATTCAAAAGATAAGCAATAAAGGTTGGTCGTCAAGGGCCATTCGATTATCATTCGATTTTTTAAAATGATACTCACCCTCTCTCTCTTTCTTTTTCGCTGTATCTTGATTTCTACATTTACCATGATTATCATTGAAATGAATTTCTTTGATTTTTTCCATCATCATCATCATCAACAACAACATTGCTTTTTTTTCTTCACCAAACCTTTTGACCATTCGTTAGAAGAAGAAGAAAAAAAAGGTTAGTTGACCTTTTTTTTCGAAGAAACAAACAAACAAACAAAAAATCAAAATGATCATGGCCTTCGAATGAAAATGAAATATCTTGTCCATGTATTTTGGTTGTTATTATTCGAATTCGATGATCGTATTCAATTTCAACAACAGCAGATGGCGTTGATTCTTTCTTTTTTTTTTGATAAAAATTTTCAATCATTACCGGTTAATTGTGTGGGATCCAAATGGAAATTTCCGTTTTTTTGCCATTCAAATGTGTTTTTCAATATATTCAATTGGAAATAGAAGTACGATTTTTTTTCGTTTCCCCACTCTCATTCACCGTCACCACAACTTTTTAAATAGAATTTTTTTTGGTTCAAATTATGGATAGAGAAAAAAAATTTAAATAATTAAATATTGGCTGACGATACATATTGATATTTTGTAGAAAAAAAAATAGAAGTTTATTACGAAATAAAGTAAAGAAAAATTCTTGGTGCGAATTTGAATTTGTATATATAGTGAATTGTGGGCCAATAAGCCCATAAGGGTAAAAAGTGTTTTTACAAAAAAAAATTCAAAATTTTGAAAAACAAAAAAAAAAAGATTTTTTCGGGAATGTTTTTCGGAAATTTTGCCATCCAAAAAAATTTGATAAAAAGAAAAAAAAAATTTGTGTTTTGAAAATTTTCCCGAAAGCAATTTTTCTGTTTTTGCATTCAAAAACAAATCCAATTCATTTGAAATCTATCTGATGATTTGGTTTTGTTGAAAATTTTTCATTCCACCAAACCAAATCATCATCAACAGATTCGATTCTCATTCATTTGATAATAATAAAAAATATTGCCACCTTTCCATTTTTCTTTTCCTCGTAAATATGGTCGAATGATGAATAAATTTCAAGTTTTTTTTTTATTGATCCAATATCGATATTTTATAATTAAAAAAAAAGACAAAATTTATTGTATCAATTTTGTCTCGATGGAATGATGACAGCAACAGCAAA